CGGTGCAGTGGTTGTGGCGGTTTTGGTTGCGCTGGTGGTCGTGTTGTGTGATACGGTGGTTGTGGTGGTAGACGATAGTGGTCGTGGCACTGGGTGCGGCGGTGACGGTGAGATGTTGGTGGTTGTGGTCTCGAATGTGTTGAATTGGTTTTTATCGTGATGTTTGCTGTAGGATGATGGTAGTGTCGGCAGCGGTGTTGGAGGCAGTGATTGTTTGGTGGTGGTCACATATTAATTTGTTAATTGTGACCATTAAATTTGTTAATATGTGACCAATAAACAATACGTGACCAATAAGATAAATTGTGACATAAAAAATTAATAATTTGTGACCTATAGTACTTATGATCTGTGACCTATAAATAAATTGTAACGCATAAATTTTTGATTTGTGATCGATGAACAAATTGTGACATACAAAATTGTTGAATTGTGATCATCAAGTAATTTTTGACAAAAAAAAATTTTAATTTGTGATTGAAAAATTATATACGATTAATTAAATTGGGAATCTATGACCAAAGTGTATAGATCCGTGATCTTAATATATTTAATTAATAATATATTTTATTAATTAATTAAATTATTAATGAATTTTTGATTTTTGAAATTTAAAACTTGTATTCTTACTTTTGAAATGGGTAATAGTTATCTTTTTAGTTATGAAATTTTCCCAATAAAAAATTAATAGGTCCATTAGCAAGTCTAGGGACTTTGGAGCTAGACCCAACATCATGGCAATCGGGTCACTCGTGGCTCGCCCGAAAAAAGTCTGAGCCAGCTTTGCTCGAGGTTCGGGCTGAGCCCCATTTCAAGAAGTCAGCTCTAGACGGGCCAGCCCATTAAAATAAATAAAAAAACTAAATCTGCTACCTGCTGGTAGCTATTTTAGCTACCTGTTTGGTAGCTAAGAGGAACAAAAAACAAGCGAAAAAAAAATAAAATCCAGTCGGTTTGGCTCGTTAAGGCTCTAGCCGAAAAAAGCATGCTTTCAAAAAATTCAAGCCGAGTTCGAGCCAGCTTGACTCGATTCGTTGACACCCCTACATCTAGCTCAGTAGCGATCTTCAGAACTAGGCTTGTCAGAACCTATCTTAAGGGGCGAGCGGCATATTTAGAATGGAAATTTTCATATTTAAGAATTTAATTATGATTCATTTTAAAAATAAGAAATAATGTTTAAAACTTAAAAAACATGATATTATTAAATTTTATTTATGAAATAATTAATTAAAAATTATTAAAATCACAAATCCATATAATTTGGTCACAAATTATCGAATTAATTATTTTTTATTTTTCCTCGAACACAATTTAAAAATTTTATAAGTCAAAAATTATTTTTGAATCATAAATAAAATTTTTTATAGATCATAATTTATTTTTCGATCACAAATAAAAAATTGTATAGATCACAATCTACTCATCAGTCATAAAATCCAAAAGTTAATCGATCACAAATCACAAATGTTATAAGCCTTCATTTGTTTCTCATTCTATTTTCCCTTCGCTTGATTCTCATTCTATTTTCATTAAAATGAAAAAATATGACCGTTATCCATAACATCAAGCTACCAAATTTAAATTTTTATTTTTTGTATGGGGCTCGTAACGGCTATATTTTTCATTCTCATTCTTCCAAAAATGGGAAACAAACGGGTCAAACTTATTTAACGATCACAGATTATCAAATTAATTTATTACAATTTATTTTTCGATCAGAACTTAATAAATTGCGAGTCACGATCACATTTTTAAGCCACATATTATATGTTGGTCACAAATTACACAATGTATTGGTCATAATCAACGAATTTATTAGTTACAAACACTCTTGGTCCCAATCGATTGCTGCCGTCACCACTAACACCACAGCGCTTCAAACATTTGTACTACAATAGTTTGCGACAAACACCGCCAGATTCACCACCATGCCACCTTACCAGTGCTAAAGTTCACCACCAACATCGCTAGATCCACCCGCACTACTGCTGTTACGCCCCTATTTGAACCACTTCGAAAAGTCTGCCACTACATCATACAAGGTGTCCAACACCCATCCAAAGTGGTTTCAAAGTGACTCCACCACTAATGTTGGCGAGCTGCTAACGCGCTGCGAGGCACAAACAATTCTACTGAACCAACCGAAGCGTTCTTGCCTCTAACGTCGAAGTGCAATACACTCCGAGGATCTCTGTCAGAGGATCCGCCGCCAATTTCAGAAAGAGATCTGTATCAAGATCCTTTCTGTCCCCAAGTTTTAATTGATTCGACGTCTCCATGGGCCTAGTTGATGTGACGTATCAACTTTATGTCAACTCAACTCGGAAGAAGTTATTACCCGTCCACTCTATAGACCCGGTTGATTAACGCTTATGAGCAGACGCCTCACACTGTCAGATGCATACACGTGTCCTACATCTAACGATTCTCCTCAACTATAAATACCCAAGGTTTGACAAGAGGTAAAGGTAATAAAACTCTTACAACTTAGCTCTCTATAACAAGTAAATATATATTCTCCTCCCCACCCTTTTTGCACAACCTTGGCACTGTTCCGATCACCAGAAGCTAACTTGACCGTCAAAGTGTATGCGATCGTCGCCGCCCCCACTGGTTTCGACCATGTGCATTTGACCATGCGTTGACTATGAATAGGGAGGATTACGTGGAGTAACTATCGGTTGGCCACGTGAAAGGTCCAATTCGCCAGGTCAACAGATTGTCGCCATCTGTGGGAAACTTCCCATCCAAAGTTCTAAATTCTCCACTAGAAAAGCCACAAGAAAACCCTTGACTTACCCTGAAAAGGGGACGTTCTTGAAAAAGAACAAAGTCGAATTACAACCCAAATCCTCATCATCCTTGAAAAAGGAGTAGATAAGATGAGTTCCAACAATGAGGACGCAAATCCTAGGATGGACGCCTCTGAAGAAGAGGTGCTCTGAAACAATGTCACTCACCAAAGACCCCATCACCGGCGTTGCCGAGGTGAAAGAACGGCCATGCTCATTGAAGAAATGGCCTAAATAGCTACGGGCATGAGAGAGATCGCAGCTCAGAATATGGAGATGCATGAATTCTTCATGCGAGCTCAAGGTCACCAGGGCGCCCAAATGCCCCAAGAATCTTACCCAGCTCGTGAAGTCTCTGCGTCTCGTTCCCAAGGCCATATGAGCCAGCACAGAGAACCCCCTCTCGAGAGAGAAGTGGGTACGGAAGTCATATCCTATATGCAAGGGAGCCAGCCAGCAGAACCGCAATTGGGGGACAACTTCCCACCAGAATATAAAGCACAAAGGTCAGTTAGTGTCTTTGATCAGATAGGGCGAGACCCTAGTAATAGGGTCCATTTAGTGGAAAGATCAGTTCGACAAGGGGAAGAGCAAGAACAAGCGCCCCTTCCACCTAGAAGTAGGAAGGAGAGAACAAACTTAGTTGATTGGGGTAGTCGAGGAAGAGCACCTCGACCCCTCCAAAACATGCAAGATAATGGGAACTCTGAAGGGCCATGTCGATCTTACGAGATTGATGATGATGATGATAATCTCCCATTCTCAAGAGAGATCCGAGGCTCCCCAATGCCTGCGAACTTTGTACCACCTAAAATCCCCAAGTATGAAGGAAAAGGGGACCCAGAAAAGTACCTCACGAAGTACATGACATAGATGAGTCTCAGGAGAGCCTCGCCTACTTTGAAATGCAGAGCCTTCCACCTAACCCTGGCCGGAGCCACTGAAGTGTGGTACAACAGGCTGCCTCCTCTGAGCATTAGGAGTTGGCCAGGCCCGTAGAAGGGGCAAGGTTGTGCACCTTCCACCAACTCTATGGACATGACACTAGCGAACGAAGAGATGCTTCGTGGCACTCAGATCGGAATAACCCACATCCCTCCAAAAGGGACGACCATCTCCGCAGATCTGCCTCCTCGAACAGGGCTGAAAGGAGGCATAGAATCAATCACCCCAAAGAAAAGGATCGAGGGACAGAGGAGAGTCCGGACAGAGAGATCAGGCCCCATTTTCTGGAGGCCAAATCATCAGGAAAATTGACACGATCATCGGGGGACCTTACATCGGCGGTAACACTAGGAATGCCTAAAGGAACTACACAAGGGAAGCAAATGAGCCGTTTGTACTCACGTACATCGTCAACCAGTCCCAAGAAGCCGACAGGATGGCCCCGATTACCTTCTCCCAAGAAGATATACAAGGAGTTCACCACCCCCATTGTGACGCATTGGTAGTAAGAGCCGTAGTAGCAAGAAAAGGACTCAAACACATGCTTTTCGACAATGGAAACTCGGTGAACATACTGTTTGGCTCTACTTTTGACAAAATGCAAATTGAACATGGGCTAATCCCCATGATCGACCCACTATTTGGATTTACTGGAGACAGCATCATCCTACGAGGATGAATTACTCTGCCCGTCGAAATGGGTTCAGCTCCCCTAGTGGCCCAACATTTCATGCAGTTTTTGGTAGTAGACCACAGGTTAGCCTACCACGGAGTATTTGGTAGACCCACCTTGAAAGATCTTTGGGCTGTCACCTCCATACATTACTTGTGTATAAAGTTCCCAACTGAGCATGGAATTGCTATGGTTTGAGGCGACCAGATGGGCTCCAGAGCATGTTATCTAAACTCTTTGCGAAAATCAGAGCCCCGCACTGTTAATATAATCATAACGGAGGTTGCGAACGAATTCGGCCTGGATGTGGAAATGCTCGACGCCCCTGAAATAGGGCATACCTCCGAACAGGAGGAAGATGTTGACATGGAAGAGGCCCCTGAAGAAGGGCACCCTCTTGACGAATTCCGAATAACTGCCTCAGAACAGAACGTGACCCCAATGAAAGAACTTGAAACTTTCTCCATCAACCCAGAGGACTCCAGTCAGGTCCTGTGGATAGGAAAGACATTGTCCCCCGAAGTAAAAGAACAAATGATAAACTTCCTAAAAAGGAAATGGATATCTTTGCTTGGAAGCATAAAAACATGGTAAGAATAGACCCAAGGATTAGTTGTTATCGCCTAAACATCAACGCTTCCTATGCCCAACATCGGCAAAAAAGACGAGCCCTCAACCCAGAGAGCTACAAGGCGTTCAAAGACGAAGTCAATAAGCTTAGCCGCAGTGGCTTTATCAAAGAAGCCATTTATTCGAAGTGGATATCCAACCCGGTCCTTATGAGGAAGTCTAGCGAGAAATGGACGGTGTGTGTAGACTTCACAAACTTAAACAAAGCATGCCCTAAGGATAGCTTCCCACTGCCGAGGATAGACCAACTTGTGGATTCCACTGCCGGACATGAACTCTTGAGTTTCATGGATGCATACTCAAGACACAACCAGATACCGATGTTTCGACCTGATGAGGAGGCCACGTCGTTCATCATAGACAAAGGATTGTATTGCTACAAAGTCATCCCCTTCGGATTGAAAAATGCTGGAGCTACATATCAGAGGCTGGTCAACATGATGTTTGACGAACCTATTGACAAAACCATGGAAGTCTATGTGGACGACATGCTAGTCAAAAGCCTCCAGGTGAATGAACACGTAAGTCACCTCGACCAGACCTTTCAGATTCTTAGGAAATACAAAATGAAATTGAACCCCCTCAAATGCACATTCGGCATGGCTTCGGGTCAGTTTTTGGGGTATATTGTGAACCAAGGGAATCGAATCAAATCCGGTAAAGATTAGGGCCTTACTAGAAATGAGGTCGCCTCAGAAGCCAAAGGAGGTCCAGAGCCTCAATGGTCGGATAGCTGTACTCAGTCGCTTCATCTCCAGAGCCACTGATAAGAGCCTATCATTCTTCAAAGTGTTGAAGCAAGGGAAGAAGTTCCAATGGACCGATGAGTGCGAGAAAGTCCTTCAAGCACTGAAGAAACACTTAGGAGAGGTGCCTCTGTTATCCAAACCTAAACCACAGGAATCACTACTGCTATACTTGGCGGTCTCGGACGAGGCGGTCAGTGCAGTCATAGTTAGAGAAGAAGACGAGCATCAATTGCCGGTATACTATGTCAGCAAAGCACTACTCCCGACAGAAACCCGCTACCCGGGCATGGAAAAATTGGCACTCGCCCTCATCACGGCGTCAAGGAAACTAAGGCTATACATCCAGGCCCACTCAATCGAAGTTCTCACCAACTTCCCATTGAAGCAAGTATTGCAACAAATGGAAGCTTCGGACCGCCTGCTGAAATTGGCAATTGAGCTCAGTGAGTTCGACCAACTGTTCCGACCCAAACATGCCATCAAGGGACAAACCCTTGCAGATTTTGTGGCTAAATTTGCCATAGCACCAGAAATGGAGACAGCAATGGAACCAGCCAAGCCCCCAACATGGAACTTGTTTGTGGATGGATCCTCAAGAGAAACTGGCTCCGAAGCTGGGATCGCCTTGGAAAGCCCGGAAGGCCACAAGCTAAATTGCGCAGTAAGGTTCGGCTTTAAAGCCTCGAACAACGCTGTCGAATATGAGGCCCTTCTACCAAGCCTTAGACTCACAAAAGAAATGCAGGTCAGAAGGCTCCTGGCAAGCAGCGACTCTCAACTTGTGGTGAGTCAGGTCAACGGAAACTTTGTCGCCAAAGACAGTAGCATGGTTGCATATTTAAAATTGGTCGTGGACCTAATCCCACATTTTGAGAGGTTCAAATTGATCCAAGTCCCACGCCTTGAGAACCCTCATGCAGACGCCCTGTCAAAATTGGCCAGCAGCAAAGACTCAGAGCTGCTAAAGATTGTCCCCATTGAACGCTTGTCGAAACCCTCTATTTTCGGAGGTGAAGAGTTGTTATGGATAGAAAGTACCCCAGTATGGATGCAACACATCATAGCCTATCTCAAGGATCAATCACTACCAGCTTTAAGAAACGAGGCGAGGAAGTTAAGAAGGAGAGCCGCGCACTTCGTCCTACAAGAGGATGTCCTCTACAAAAGAGGCTTTGCCTCACCACTTCTCCGATGTGTAGAAGGGGAAGAAGCTACATATATACTCAGGGAGATCCACGAAGGGATTTGCGAAAATCATTCTGGAGGAATGGCTTTGGCACACATGGTGCTCCGACAAGGCTACTTCTGGCCAACCCTGAAAAGGGATGCTTGCCAATTCGTTTAGAAATGTGATAAGTGCCAGCGCTTCTCAAATATTCAAAGAGAGCCTTCTCAAAGCCTCTCCGTAGTCACCAGTCCATGGCCATTCGCCAAATGGGACATCGACTTCATTGGTCCACTCCGAAAAGGAAGAGGAAGCGCGACTTTTGCCATTGTCACCATGACTACTTCACCAAGTGGGTCGAGGCTGAACCTCTTGCCAAGATCATCGAGGCGAATACTATAAAATTCATCTGGAAGAACATCATTTGCAGGTTCAGCATTCCCTACTCCTCAGTGTCTAACAATGGGAGACAGTTCGACAACAAAAAGATGCGAGACTTATGCAACGAACTGGGGATAAAGAAGGATTTCTCGACGCCTCATCACCCTCAAGCAAATGGACAAGTTGAGGTAGTGAACAAAACCATCAAGCATACCCTGAAAAGGAAGCTTGACGTCTCGAAAGGGGCGTAGGTCGATGAGCTTTCCCACATCCTCTGGGCGATCTGCATAACTCGCCGAACCGCTATAGGTGAGACACCCTTCTCGATGACCTATGGAGCCGAAGCCATGAGCCCTGTCGAGGTAGGAGTCCCATCGTATCGTCGGATACACTTCAATGAGTTCGATAACGACAAAACTCGGATGAGCGAACTCCACCTCCTTGAAGAAAGAAGGGATACCTCCCAAGTAAAACTGGCCAAGTATCAAAGAAAGATGACCCGCTATTACAACTCTAAGGTCAGAAATCGAACTCTTCGGTTGAGGGATCTCGTCCTTAGAAGGGTCTTCCAATCGTTAAAGCCAACTGGGGCCGAAGTGTTTGGACCAAATTGGGAGGGTCCTTATTGCATCACAAGGAGTCCTGACCTGGTACTTTTGAAATTGAAGATATGACAAGGAGAGTACTACCTCATCAATGGAACATCGAACACTTGAGAAAGCACTATTAATGATGAACGTATGTTCTGATCCGATTGATAAGTGTGTTTTTGCACACTTATTTACATCACAAACATGACTTAAATACAGGTAAATTGATTTAATTGTTACTTAACTTTGTCAAATTCATGAAATGTAGGAAATTCTATGGAAATAGTGGAATTCAGGAGAAAAGAACCGAAAAAGGACCAAATTGAAGCAAAGAGAAAACTTAGGGACCAAATTGCAATTATCTAAAAGTTGACCCGGTGAACACATTAAGCAATTGATCAAGCTAAGCACCAATTGGAAGTTATAAGAGACCATTGGAGCAACTAGGAACAAGAGAGGAGGTCAAGGAGTGAAGAAATGAAACTTGAGGACCAAAATGAATTAAACTAGAAGCTAGCTATACTATGCGACCGCATAGTATAAAACCTATGCGGTCGCGAGTGAACCTCCAGGGTTGAAAAAGGGTGTTTTTCTTAAACCTATGCGGTCGCATAGGTATAAATTTTCCCGAATTTTGCACTTTCCTTATATGATTGCAACTCCTTTGGTAACCTAATTTGGACGGGTTTAAATAGCAGCAAGACGTCCAGAAGCCGCACGAACGACTTGGGAGGCAAAAACATCAATCTTGGAGTGGAATTGAAGGCAAGAACAAGCAATTGATGCAAGATTTACGAGATTTCTTCAACCTTTGACAACCCGGTGACGTATTTTATTCATATTTTGTTAGTTTTCGTTATTTTTCAAAAAAACTTGTTCGCCAAATATTTCTTTCGATTTAAATTACCGCAAGTGTACGGTTCTTTAACAAGTAATAAAGTGGATCAATTGAGTCCGAATATCATCCCACGGAGATTGGTTAATTCAATTTTACTTATTTTAGCCTTAACCGAAACTAATTGAGTTGAAATGAATTTCGGAATCAAAAACCCTAATTTTGGTAGAAATCCCCAAATTGAAAAACCCTAATTTCAAATCAAACCCTAATTACTTAAATTCACTTAACTAATGACTCAATTACGAAATGTTATGAAAAATCGATGAAATGTATTGTCAATTTATGAAAATCTATGTAAAACAAATGCACTAGGATCACGAATCCCCAAATAATTACCAATTAAACCCTAATTTCACAATTTTGATAATTCAATAAGAATTTGATAAATCAATGCTCCTAAATCTATTCAATACTCTCTCTCGAGATGTATTGAACCTATTCTCATAAATCATCAGCCTATATCTCTATGACGGATGCAATTTTACAAGAACGCATATAATCTTTTTGTGAGTAATTAAAGATTTACATAGGGGATAGGGGTATATTTCTATCCTCTATCGGACCCTATGATGAATTATATATGTCGAGTCTAATCTAATTTTCTCAAATTCAGAATTAAACCACCAAGTTCACACAAATCAAGTGCACATTAATTGTGGAAATAAGTAAATCAATATAATCCATTCAAATATCCATCAAACTAATAATTCAAAATCATGAAATAGAAAGTTTAATAAAAATTACATGGTTCATCGATTACCTAGTTGCAAAAATCTAGCCTATCATGATAAAAATAACGAAAACTAACAAAATATGAATAAAATACATCACCGGATTGTCAATGGTTGAAGAAATCTCGTAAATCTTGCATCAATTGCTTGTTCTTGCCTTCAATTCCACTCCAAGATTGATGTTTTTGCCTCCCAAGTCGTTCGTGCGGCTTCTGGACGTCTTGTTGCTATTTAAACCCGTCCAAATTAGGTTACCAAAGGAGTTGCAATCATATAAGGAAAGTGCAAAATTCGGGAAAATTTATACCTATGCAACCGCATAGGTTTAAGAAAAACGCCCTTTTTCAACCCTGGAGGCTCACTCGCGACCGCATAGGTTTTATACTATGCGGTCGCATAGTATAGCTAGCTTCTAGTTTAATTCATTTTGATCCTCAAGTTTCATTCCTTCACTCCTTGACCTCCTCTCTTGTTCCTAATTGCTCCAATGGTCCCTTATAACTTCCAATTGGTACTTGGCTTGATCAATTGCTTGATGTACTCATCGGGTCAACTTTTAGATAATTGCAATTTGGTCCCTGAATTTTCTCTTTGCTTCAATTTGGTCCTTTTTCGGCTCTTTTCTCCTGAATTCCACTATTTCCATAGAATTTCCTACATTGCATGAATTTGACAAAGTTAAGTAACAATTAAATAAATTTACCTGTATTTAAGTCATGTTTGTAATGTAAATAAGTGTGCAAAAACACACTTATCAAACCCCCCAAACTTGAACTATTGTTTGTCCTCAAATAAGATAGTGATATAATTCTGAACAAACATGGCTTAACACCTTGCCTTGGCTCAGGATTGGACTAAGTAATTGATTTTATGAAAATTTATCAGTGCAAGATGACATCAACCTTCAACTGTTAAGTGCATACTTGACGCGTGTGTGTGAATTCATGCTAACGTATCAAGTTTATGATGAGTTTGAGTCCCGACCCTAAGTGGTCAAATGTCTCCTTACTCGCTCGAGAGATACACACCCCCCAAACTTATTCTTTTCACTCAATTATCCCGAGGTTGTGTTTAAAAATTATGAGTTTACCTAGCTTTAGTTCTCACCCTTTCATAGTTTGGATTAATTTTACTATCATAGTTCACACGTCAACAAGTGAAGGCTCTCCTAGTTTTGATTGCTTCGACACTCAAGACTAAACTAGGTTACTTGTCTCGCCTCAAAGGTATAGTTTCTTCCACCAATTGTCCAAGGGCTTTTCTTCTTGTTATTGTCCCTTTTTGTTTTTTTCACTTTTCTCTGGATTTTTTTTATCTTATCATCTTCTCATTTGCTTTCTATATAACCCATGTAACGAGCTTTAGGCCGGTGACTCCCAAACCAGTTGGTTTTAGGGTACCAGGTTTTAGACCCTTGCAGGCTTATTCACTCGAGTTATAAAGGCTCGATCAGATGACTTTTTATTAACTTCTTTACTTCTTACTTTTATATGACCCATGTATCGAGCTTCAGGCCGGTGATTCCCAGATCAGTTGACCTTAGGGCACCAGATTTTGAAATATCCTTACAAGCTTACTTGCTCGAGTCATAAAGGCTGAAAAAAAGAAGTGTCTTATTCTTACAAATTAAGTTCATGCCCTCATTTTTCTAGACATCTGGTATCCAAAACTAACCCTCAATTTAAGATTTTCACCTACTCTTCATCCCACTGGTCTAGGCAATCCACACAATAATTCATGCACGGAGCCTCACTCATTTCAATGTTCTCCTATAATAGTTCAACTATCACCAAACTGTCTTAAGGTATTTTACGGGTTCATTCAATAGAGGGTTATAACTATCTCTCTACTTTATGCTCAAAACCCCAATCACTTACCTAACATGTCAAGCATGAATGACGTGCATAAAGAATGTCAAGTATTGCATCAACAAGTATAGGTTAGCCTAATTAGCACCGATTCCAAAGTTCTGAAATGTACCAATCCAATAGTAACATCATAGTCGGCAAGGCGATTAAGCTCACACAAGTATACATAAGCATAATCAATATTCACTCACAAGCATGTCTCATGCAGCAATTAGTCAAAATAAATCTAGATTGTGGAAATGCAATTAGTTATATGCCGAATGTCTTAATCAAATTATGCCACCATCCCCCAAACTTATACAAGACATTGTCCACAATGTGAAAAAAATAAGTTTAGAAGGCAGAATTTAAGGAAAATGAATACAAATTAGGCAAACGATACTTCCCTGATCAAAACGGGGGCTGCAATGGGAAGCTAGAGCCTGCAGTATCATCAGCTGGAGGTGGAGGTAAGCGCGCCAAGATCTCTCTCATCAGTGCTGATTGCTGTGTCATTTCATCATGGATTCCCTCAACACGTGTCTCCAAGCGGTCCAAACTCTTCCAAGTTTCATTTACCCTCATCTGGATGCCATCCACCCTGCCCACATACACACCGAGTCGATCGTTCATAGTGTCCATCTCTCTCCTAGCTGCCTGGGCATTCTGACGAGCAGCACGTGACATATCAGTGGAAATGCGGATGTCACGGTGGGCTGTATGCATCTCAGTCGTCAAAGTCCCCATAGCCTGCTGGAGACTCTACACGTCTCGGCTGGTCCCCGTGGTGGTGGTGAAAATCTGGTGCCACAGCTGTGCATTTAACTCAGCCTGTGGTGGAGAAGCTTGAGGCATCTCCTAATCTGCTTGCTCGTGACCTTGCTCTCCCTCCTGTCTGCGCCTCTCAATTTCTTGCTTCTCCCAATGCTTTAACCTGGCTCTGTCTTGGGCCTCCAAAGTACTGCGCTTTATGGTGGGGCTGGGTTTGGCAACCACCTCCCCGGATACAATGTTTATACCAGCAGCTATGTAAATTTCGGAGATGAGGCTCGGGAAGATCATTGAGCTGTGTCTATCTCCCAAAGTACCCACATGATGTATCTGATCATAGCAAAGAGTGGCAAGATCAACCTTATTACCTCGCACCAAGTGATAAAGGAATCCAGCTGTGGGATCTGTGAATGTGGTCCTGTGAGAGGTAGGCTCAATGTTGTGGCACATAAACAGCCACAGGATTGCTATAGACGGTGTAAGCTCAATCTGATGCCACTCGGTAGTGGGAAGTGGCCATGTATTCTGTCGCCTCAATAAGATCTCCGCCACTTCAGGCCAATTGAAGTCACTCGGTACAGGCGTTATGTTGTCCCACGTGAGCTGGTAGTAGTCTTGAATAACTTCGGGTGAGAATGTGATCCATTTTCCCCGGACCCAAGTTTGATGTAGGTGATCGGACCCTGGTGTGTCAATTTCAGTATTGAAGTTGGCGTAAAATTCCCCCACCAACAATTCATAACTCCGATGTGGCTGCTCCACTATTTTATTCCAACCACAGTTCTGCACCAAACTAGTCAGCTCGAAACTGGGAAAGTCTTCCAATTTAACAGCTCGTTCTGGTGTCACTGTCCATCGACTCACTATGTTTTCATAATGGGCTGCTGCCTCGACGGCAAAAATCTTTGTATACTTCCTTCAAGCACGCGAGTGCGTGCTGTGCCGGATGATGAGCCAACCTTCTCCTTCCCTTTTGAAGTTCGTTTTGGTGGCATCCTGCAAAGTTTGAAAATAGCTAGCATTAGACATCTTGTTATACAATGAGAAATCATAATGAAATGAAAAGCACGTAAAGCACAAATCCCCCAAACTTGTTTCAATAAGCATGTATTCTACCACGGTGTAATGAACAATGTATGATGATTAGAGTAGTATAAATGTATAGTCCACATGAAAATATAAGGAAATTTTGGAAGAATATGCTCATAGTTAAAGGGTTGGAGTCATGGTTGAGTGTACACCTTCGGCCCCGGGCACCATCGAGAATTATCAAGATTGTCCCGAGCAACCTCTGGGCATATGGAAGTATGCAATGAGGTCTAGCACATACTCAAATTTCAGCTCAATCGGAGGTCGTTGGGTGTGTCAAATAGTAGTGTAAAATAAGGGACGGAGGGTGCTTGGGCATGCTATGACTTAGCTATTTTTGTGCATGTGTGTGTTGATGTTGTCTAAGTCATATTGTTTGGTAATACGTCACAACGAGTTATTCCATTCATCGAATAGTCAAATGCCATGCTAGATGTTCATAAATGTAATAGATTACCAAAAAATGTGCATTTTATCGAACACGTTGTGCGCAATGTGAGATCTTCATATACTAGCCAAAAATTGATTATTTCACATGGTTCCCCATTCAAAAATCAATCACCAAGCGCATACACATCCGTCAATCAAATGAATTTAAGGCAAAATATACCAAAATACCCAAAAATTATCAATGTGGCAATTTATCAAACACATTACAAGCATAGAGTGGAAATGGTGGAAATTGAATGAATTTTGATTTAGAATCATTCCAAAGTTTCACATAACACAAGCACAATCAATCCATATGCACAAGAATTATTCCAAACTCCCTCAAATCGCCAAAATTACATTTATCATCAATAAAACCGAAAATGAATTGAGGGAGGGTGAGAGAACACATACCTTTTCTTTGCAGGGTTTAATCAATGGAGAGAATGGATTTCCTATCAATGATATCACAATGCAACGAATGAATTGGTGTGTGATCTTAGCTTAAAATCGATTTAGGAGGAGAGTGAAAGGTCGAAAATGATATAGAAACCCTTAGCAAATGATTCGAGCGTGGGTTTTAACCCACGCCTTTTTCTACCTATGCGGCCGCATAGTTATAACCTATGTGGTCGCATAGGTGTATTGGTTTTGTAACTTTTACTTTCGATAGGTGCCTATGCGGTCGCATAGACACCATGTCTATGCGATCGCATAGGCACACAAATTTTTTTTTTAAATAAAATAAAATAAATAAAACAAAGCCTCTTTTAAAAAAAAAAAACTCGATTTTTGTCCCAAAATTTTTTTTTTTGAAAAAGACCGACTCTCAACGCTCCCAATTTTTCAGAAACATACTTTTAAAATATTGACATGTGAAATTTAGAAGACATAATATTCCTCGAAATACGTGAATTCCACAGTCAACTACCAAAAACAACGTAAATCAACCCGAACTTGTGTGTGATACTTAATGACTCGTGTGCATAGAGCTTGGACTCTTTGAAATGCCTAGATGATTGATGACCACATAACGGAATACTAAATGAATGTGAAAATAAACTTCCTAAGTTAATGCAGAAACATAATAAAGTAAATAAACAAATAAAAAGGATACAGTTGGTTGCCTCCCACCCAGCGCTAAGTTATAATCGATAGCTCGACTTTTTTGCGGCTGCTTCATTCTGGCGTCTCGAGTTGAACGATTAACTTTTGTTTAGAGAAGTCACCGCCCCAGTAGTGTTTCAACCTTTGCCCATTGACAGTGAAGGTACCCTTATTCTCATTGCTCACTTGTATAGCCCCATATGGTAGAACTTTTGTAACTGTGTAGGGACCCGACAACCGTGATCGTAATTTTCCTGGGAATAACTTGAGTCTCGAATTATACAGTAGTACTTGCTGCCCCACTTCGAATACTCGCCTTTGAATATGCATATCATACCACTTCTTGGTTCGCTCCTTGTAAAGTTTTGCATTTTCATAAGCCTCCATTCTAAATTCATCCAATTCATTCAGTTGCAGTAGACGCTTTTCTCCGGCGGCATTCAAGTCCATATTTAACTGTTTCATAGCCCAATATGCCCGATGCTCCATTTCTAATGGCAGATGACATGCTTTCCCAAAGACTAGGCGGTATGGAGAAATGTGATCGGGGTATTGAATGATGTTCTGTAAGCCCATAATGCATCGTCCAGCTTTTTAGACCAATCCTTTCTAGATGAATTCACAGTGACCTCTAGTATTCTCTTCAGCTGCCGATTAGATACCTCAACTTGCCCGCTGGTTTGTGGATGATATGGAGTAGCAACTCAGTGTTTAACGCCATATTTATTCAATAGCTGCTCAAACTGGCGATTACATAAATGCTTGCCCCCATCGCTGATTATAGCTCGCGGTGTACCATATCGGGTGAAAATGTATTTCTTCAAGAAACCAATCACTGTCTTTGAGTCATTTGTTGGCAATGCAACTGCTTCCACCCATTTTGAGACGTAATCGACTGCCACCAAGATATACTGGTTTGAGAACGAAGGGGGAAAAGGTCCCATGAAGTCAATTCTCCAAACATCAAATATCTCCACTTCCAAAATATTGTTCAGTGGCATTTCATTTCTCCTCGAGATATTCCCAGTGCGTTGACATCTGTCACATCTCTTAACAAACTCAAATGTATCTTTAAACAATGTAGGCCAGTAGAAACCTGATTGTAGAATCTTTGCAGCTGTTTTTGAAGCTCCAAAGTGTCCTACATATGTGGATGAGTGACAATGCTCGAGAATCTCATGTACTTCTTCTTCAGGTACGCACCTCTTAACTATCTGATCAGCTCCTTGCCTATAGAGAATTGGATCCTCCCAGAAATAGTATTTTAACTCGGCAAAGAATTTTTTTCTTTGGTGATTGGAGCAGTCAGGTGGTGGAATGGAACTGGCCAAGTAATTGACAATATCTGCGTACCAAGGTGCTTCATCCACTCTCAACATCTGTTCATCCGGGAAGATCTCATTTATATCCACTAAATCTTTCGTCTCCCCAGATTCTAGTCTGGATAGGTGATCTGCTACTACGTTCTCGGTGCCCTTCTTGTCGCGTATCTCAATGTCAAGTTCTTGCAATAATAGCACCCAGCGAATTAATCTCGGCTTTGTATCCTTCTTTGTGAGCAGATACTTCAGTGCAGCATGATCAGTATAGACGATAATTTTAGATCCGACGAGGTATGACCTGAATTTGTCAAATGCAAATACCACAGTCAACAACTCATTTTCAGTGGTTGCATAATTTAGTTGTGCATCATTTAGAGTTCTGCTTGCATAGTAGATCACATGAAAAATCTTGTTCTTCCGCTGTCCCAATACTACACCTACAGCGTGATCACTTGCATCACACATCAATTCACAAGGTAATTCCCAGTCTGGAGCTACAATCACTGGTGCTGTCGTAAGCTTTTCCTTTAAAGTGTTGAAAGCTGTGAGACAATCCTCATTGAACTCAAAAGTTGCATCTTTCATTAGTAAGTTGCATAAAGGTTTAGTAATCTTCGAGAAATCTTTTATAAACCTCCGGTAGGACCCAGCGTGTCCCAAAAAACTGCGAACTCCTTTAACTGATGTAGGCGGTGGTAATTTCTCAATCACTTGAATTTTTGCCTTGTCTACCTCAATTCCTTTTGCCGATATCCTATGGCCAAGTACAATGCCTTCTTGCACCATAAAGTGGCATTTTTCCCAATTTAAAACTAAGTTAGTCTCCTTGCATCTCTGTAAGACCAAATTCAAGTGGTTTAGACATTCATCAAATGAAGATCCAAATACTGAGAAGTCGTCCATGAAAACCTCGATAAACCTTTCAATCATGTTAGAGAATATTGCCATCATGCACCTCTGAAATGTGGCTGGAGCGTTGCAAAGACCAAAAGGCATCCTACGATAAGCAAAAGTACCGTAGGGGCAAGTGAAAGTGGTCTTCTCCTGATCCTCTGGTGCGACAGGTATCTGATTATAGCCTGAGTATCCATCAAGAAAGCAGTAGTGTGAATGTCCAGCCAACCTCTCCAACATCTGATCAATGAATGGCAGTGGGAAGTGATCCTTTCGTGTAGCTGCATTGAGTTTGTGATAGTCAATGCAAACTCTCCAACCCGTAACTGTTCTGGTGGGAATTAATTCATTCTTCTCATTTTTCACCACTGTGATTCCCCCTTTTTTCGGTACCACTTGAACAGGGCTGATCCATGCACTATCTGAAATTGGGTAAATAATTCCTGCATCCAATAACTTCAGTATCTCTGCCCTGACTACTTCCTTCATGTTCGGGTTCAACTTCTCTGACTTTCTATGCTAGGCTTGCAATTTTCCTCCATTAAAATTTTATGCATGCACAACGAAGGACTGATTCCTTTAATGTCAGCTATTGTCCAACCAATCGCCGTCTTGTTCTCTCTAAGTACCCTGAGCAGTTTTTCCTTCTCTATTTCACTGACTGTGTTTGAAATGATTACTGGAAGTGTATCTGATTCTCCTAAATAAGCATATCTGAGATGTGGCGGCAGTTGTTTAAGTTCTAAAATTGGCGGCTGCTGAACTGGAGGTAGTGGTTTTGTGTTTCCCGTCCCCAGTTCCTCGAAGTGCCTCTTTCATGTGTATGGCGGGTTGGTCTCCAAAAATCTTGCACATGTTTCAACTTCAACAGACTCTGACTGGATAGATTGGGATTGTGCAATACATGCCTCATAGGCATCAGAGGGACCGTGTAGTAAAAATGTTTCTTGTACTGCCTTGTTAATAATATCAACTTGATAACAGCTGTCAGATTCTACTGGTAACTTCATTGCCTTGAATACATTGAATGATATCTGCTCCTCTCCCAATCTTAAAACCAACTGACCTCTTTGAACATCTATTAATGCTCTCCCTGTTGCCAGAAATGGTCTGCCAAGTATCAAGGGAACATCCTTGTCCTCTTCCATGTCCAAGATAAGAAAGTCTGCTGGAAATATGAACTTCTCAACCTTGATAAGTACATCTTCAATTATTCCTCTGGGATGTGTCAGTGACCTGTTAGCCAACTGAAGTGTCACAGTGGTTGCTTTAGCTTCTCCCAATCCTAGTTTCCTGAAAATAGACAAAGGCATTAAATTAATACTTACACCGAGGTCACATAATGCTTTATCGAAATATACTTCGCCGATTGTGTAAGGAACAGTAAAACTCCCTGGATCTTTTAGTTTTGGTGGAAGCTTGTTTTGAATTCTGGCACTACATTCCTCAGTAAGCATGACTGTCTCATGATCTTCCAGCTTGCGTTTATTTGATATGATATCCTTTAGAAACTTCGCGTAGCTAGGCATCTGGAATAGTGCATCTGCTAGCAGGATGTTGATACGGAGCTTTTTGAAGATTTCTAGAATTTTTTTGTATTGTTGCTCCACTTTTTGCTTCTTCAAGCGCTGTGAAAGGGGAATCGGAGGTTCGTAGGGGTTGATTGTGACTTTGGCATTATCTTGTGATTCTTGTGACTTTTCCTTTGAACTTGATTCCTTTACAACTGTCTCCTCTTCAGCGGAGGAAGATGTTTCTCCAATCACTCCCGGTCTCTTGACATGAATTTCAGGTAATTGAACTCCACTTCGAGTTGTAATGGCCTTTGCTTGCTCTTTAGGATTGATTTCTGTATTATTTGGTAAGTTACCTGGTGTTCTGCCAGTCAATGCGATGGATAGCTGCCCCATCTGAGTTTCCAAATTTTTGATGGCTGCATTTTGATTTTGAAGTGTAGCTTCGGCCTTCTCCATGAACTTTCCTATCATATCTTCCAATTGAGGCCTCTTCTCCTGTTGTTGAAACTGCCCCTGTGGCTTATTCTGATTCTGGTTGCTCCACGAGAAGTTGGGATGTTTCTTCCAGCTGGGATTGAAAGTCTCACCATATTGATTATTCTGCTGGCGTTGTCCCCACTGTGCGTAGTCTGCTTGCTCAATTCCTTGCATGAGTATAGGACAATCTGATGTTTTGTGCTCGGCTCCACATTCCTCACAATTGCTCTTCTTAGCTTGTGATATGCTCTCCACCTTGTGATACAGAGAATCAATTTTTGCAGAGATTGCTGAATAAGTGTCCACCTCGTACTCACCTGGAGTTTTCTTTGGAGTTGCCCTCTCAGAAGCCCACATGGCTGATGTGGTAGCCATTCGCTCAAATAATTCCAATGCCCCATCAACTGTTCTTGTGGATATTGAGCCATCTGATGTTGAATCTACCATGCTCTTATGATATGGAAGTAATCCTGTGTAAAAGAATCGGATTTGGGTCTTTTTATCGAACCCATGCTGAGGGCATTTCCGGAGCATGTTTTTGAATCTGTTCCAGGCTTCATCAAATGATTCGGTCTCTCCTTGATTGAATATTGGTCAAATGTCTCCTTACTCGCTCGAGAGATACACAACCCCCCCAAACTTATTCTTTTCACTCAATTATCCCGGGGTTGTGTTTAAAAATTATGAGTTTACCTAGCTTTAGTTCTCACCCTCTCGTAGTTTGGATTAATTTTACTATCACAGTTCACACGTCAACAAGTGAAGGCTCTCCTAGTTTTGATTGCTTCAACACTCAAGACTAAACTAGGTTACTTGTCTCGTCTCAAAGGTATAGTTTCTTCCACCAATTATCCAAGGGCTTTTCTTCTTGTTATTGTCTCTTTTTATTTTTCTCACTTTTCTCTGGTTTTTTTTTTTTAATCTTATCATCTTCTTATACATCATGTGGGTACTTTGGGAGATAGACACAGCTCAATGATCTTCCCGAGCCTCATCTCCGGAATTTGCATAGCTGCTGGTATAAACATTGTATCCGGGGAGGTGGCTGCCTAAACCAACCCCACCATAAAGCGCAGTACTTATTAAAAAAAAAATCAGAGAAAAGTGAGAAAAACAAAAAGAGACAATAACAAGAAGAAAAGCCCTTGGACAATTGGTGGAAGAAACTATACCTTTGAGACGAGACAATTAACCTAATTTAGTCTTGAGTGTCGAAGCAATCAAAACTAGGAGAGTCTTCACTTGTTGACGTGTGAACTGTGATAGTAAAATTAATCCAAACTGCGAGAGGGTGAGAACTAAAGCTAGGTAAACTCATAATTTTTAAACACAACCCCGGGATAATTGAGTGAAAAGAATAAGTTTG